AGCCAAAACTCTTCTGTCACTGGCCTCTGGGATTCCTGGTGGAGGGCACATCACATAGCTAGCTTGATGTAGATATCCTAAGAACCAAAGTTCCACTTCCCATCATTTTTGTTCCCCTTCCCCCTTCTTTCCTGATTTGTTCTCCCTTTAAAACAACCACACAGAAGATAAAATGCCTAGGAATAAACCTAATCAAAGAAACAAAAGACCCATCCAAAGAAACCGTTTTATGAGACAGAAATGTCAGTAAGTACTTTAAAACAAAGATTATCATGTAAGGAACAGGGAAACAAGATTCATGCAAATGAAATGACCAGAATGGGGACAATGAGAACCTTTATTCTTTGTAAAGAATGTAATCAGTGCCACTAAACAACTTGCATCGAAATTGTTGAATGGAAACCTAAATTGCTATGTAAACCTTCATTAAAAGCACAATAAAATATTTAAATTTTATTTTAATGGGAAAATACCTATTTAAGAAAGGAGGTATTTGTAATACATATACCCAATATAGAATTCATATCCAAAGCATAAAATTAACTCCTATAAATCAGATGATGACTACCTATTTAATAAAAAATGAGCAAGTGGGATATTTCTGGCAAGATGGTAGACAGGCAGACATTCTACATAAATCATATGGTGGTGAAGTGAAACTTCTTAACATTGCTCTCCCACCAAATGATTGGGTGGAACTATGCAAACCATGTATGTAACACTAAGAGAGGGAATTTGGTCAGTTTTCATGACCACTCCCCTGGTTATAAAAATGACCTATCTTTGAAATAGCAAAGAAGAAAGAAATCCCAGGGTCCTTTTAGAAAGGCACTTCCAAGATCTCTGTTTGAAGTGGCAGAGGCCCGCTGAGACTAGATACATCAGAGACTGTGGCACAGAGACTCATGAGCAGCATGAAAACCACAGGTTACCTTCTCCTCATATGGCTTGAGATTGTGGAGCTATGGGACAGAGTGACAGGTAAGATGTCTTCCAGGCCCACAGAGGCAAAGGCCAAAGGACCACATGGCTGAAAGACTGAGGACCAGTGAGAGGGACCTGGCTGTTGTAGGAGGAGACCACTGACTGTATTCTTACTATCATTGACCCTGGCTTCTGGTAACCTACTGACTTTCCTAACAGCCCCATTAATTGTGAGTATTGTCTGTGAGTTCTGTGTGGTCCTTACACAGAATTATCAAACCCAGCATAGACATAGAGTGGGCATGATTGCACAGCAGGGATTGACAACAAGAAAAGTGAGATGCTCCCTTGTTCCCTATGCCCTCCAGGTGACCAGAGGAGTGGCAAGAGTCCACCCTCACCCATCTAGTGGCCAGTTATACCCTCACACCTCTATACTGCACAGCCTCTGCTTTGCCTCAAGTGAGAGCTGTGTTCTTCTAGGTTGGTCTCATGGTATACCACCTCATATTTGTAGACGCATGAGTTCTGCCTCATCAGATGAATGACAAGAAAGTACAGTACTAGACAAGCAACCTTTCATTAGCCAATCTTGGCTGGACAAGAACTCCTTCCATAACCAATGACC